ATAATCACGGGCCGGCTGGTGTAATAAGAGGGCATTTTGAGGGTCAACTGAGAGCGGACGACGAGGTTGATGCAATTAAGGCCAAAATTATTGCTCATCCTCACTACTCTAATCTTTTGGAAGCCTACATGGACTGTCAGAAGGTCTCTTTTATTTATTTATTAATTAATTAATAATTAATTACCCCCTTTTTAATTTTAATTTATTTCATTTTTTTTTTTATTTAAAGATAAATCCTGAATTTGAAAGCATAATTATGTGCTTATATTATTATTATATTATTCTCGGCCTTTGTTGCTTTTTTTTTTATTATTATTATTTTTTTGGAGATTGTGAATAAAATAATCGGGTGGTGCTGGTCTCCGCCGAAACTCTCCGGTCCGACTCATAATATTTCTTTATTTATTTATTTTTTATTTTTATTTTTTGGGTAAAATATTTTCTCTGCTAACTGCTAACAGCAAATAATTATGCGTTTTTTTTAATATTTTTTTCTCTCTCTTATCTATGTTATTGGAATTTTGAAGGTGGGCGCTCCGCCGGAGGTGGTGGCGCGGATGGCGGAGGTCCGGCAAGAGTTCGAGGCCAGACAGAGGGCTACGGCGGCCGGAGATGGTTCTAAAGACCCCGAACTCGACCAATTCATGGTATATATATTTCTAAAAATAAAATATTGGAGATTCGAGCCTAAATAATTGTGATCTATTTTTGTATTTAATTAATTTTTTTTTATTTATGAAAAAAAAAAAAAACTCAGGAAGCTTACTATGACATGCTTGTGAAATACCGAGAGGAGCTGACAAGGCCATTACAAGAAGCCATGGAGTTCATGAGAAGAATCGAAACACAACTCAACATGCTCACTAATGCTCCTCCTCGGATCTTCAATTCTGGTAACTTCCTTTTTTTTTTTTTTAATTATTGCCTCTATTCTTCTTTATTTTTTATTGGAAATGCTACCGTTCCGTTACGGAACAATTTGTAACAGTTATATCATCTAGTAACCGTCGTGTTAGTTGATCTAACGATTACAAATTTCGACGAAATGAGTATATAATAGGACAGTAGAATCTCCCATTTTTATTTTTGTTTGGATATATAGATATATCCAGAAGCTACTGAGTGTAAAAGTAACAATTCCTTGTGGGCTTTTTTGCCAATATTAGAAAAAAAAAAAACAATCAGAAGAATAATAAATTGCCATTTGCCCTCAGTTTTGGGGAAATGCTACAGTCCCTTGTGAACCATTGCGTCGAAATTTATAACCGTCAGATCAACTATCTCCGACAGTTACATGATGATCAAACGATTACAACTTCTGATCAAACGATTACAATTTCGACGGAATGGTTCCTTAACGAGATAACATTTCCCTCAATTTTGAGGACAAAATTATCTATATTTTTTTTCCTTTTTATCTTTTTTATGTTGATTAAATTTCTTTTTTTTTTTAATTTTTTTTAATTTAATTTCAGTATTTTCGACATTGTTGTTCAATTCTCAATGTTTTGGCAGTGAAGAGAAGGTTGACTGACTGACGGACTGATAAAAACCACCAATTTCCAATGCCCTCTGTCACTCACGCAATTAAAATAATCAAAAGAAAAAACCCTAAATCACGAGCGTGTATAGTAAATAAATAAAAAAAAAGAAAGATATGATTTGGTTCCATTATATATGCCCTAATTAAAAAATTAAAAAGTGCACAAAAAAATCACAGTGACAGAATCTAGTTGTCTTGACTTTGGAAAAAAAAAAAAGAAAAAAATGATGAATTCACACGTTTTTAATTCTAATTACTTAGATTATTTAAGAAAATTTAATTAGTTCCATGCATTATTAATCCACTAATCTTCATTTTAGTATTAATTATGTACATTCACCTATACACAAATAATGTCTTAATTAGCTTTAGATTTTTACCTGGGCATGGATAAACATCTACTGTTAATTTACTCATTTCTTAGTGTGTGTGTGTGTGTTTTTTTTTTTTAAGGCTTTGGAGAAAAATGAGAAAACATAGGATGCTGTTCGTATCAGTGTGCTAGTACCCCATGTTGTCATTCACATTTTATCAGGTTTTTGTTTAACATTTTTATTTATATATTTCTTTTTCTTTTTAGTTCACTACAAAGGAAAAAGAATGAAATTTCAGCGTTCCAATAGAATTATTCCAACGACGATTGCAACGGATATTTTTCAACGGATTCCAACGGAAATTTCGATAAAAATATTCTGTCGGAATGAGTTTTCTATGGGAATGTCCGTTGGATTTCGACGATTCTAACGGAGATTTTTCAGCGGGGTGAAAATAAAGATTTCAACGGAAATTGCATATTTCATCGGAGATTTCTATGGTAGAAAGTCGTTGGAATCATCAAATTCCATGAGTGCATGTGTGTTTATGAACTCAATCAAGTCCTTAGTATGGCACTTATCATATTATTCGTCACTATTTTAATGTGACGAGGTTTTTGTTAATTCAGTTCAGCCCACAAATTATGTTTAGGCGCGCTTTACTCTAGCTGGAGCATCTTGATCATTAATGAAGTAAATTCATTTGATTATATATGCATTAATTTGTGTTGTTAGCTAGGTTAGAACAATTAATCAATTTATTTACACTTTTCATTAATAATTCGTTTTTTCTTTCCCGGGTGAATGAATGAATGAATGTAATAGAGGAGAAGTGCGAGGGAGTGGGCTCATCGGAGGAAGAGATGAGCGGTGGTGAATTGGGATCAGTTGGGGAGATCGACCCACGTGCAGAGGATCGTGAGCTTAAGAACCACCTTTTGAAAAAATACAGCGGCTATTTAAGCAGCCTCAAGCAAGAGCTGTCCAAGAAGAAGAAGAAAGGCAAACTTCCCAAAGATGCGCGTCAAAAACTCATCAACTGGTGGGAATTACACTACAAGTGGCCCTATCCTTCGGTATGTATGTATACTACTTTTGATAAATTTATCTTGGCGAAATTTCAATTTTGGTTTGTTTACTCGTCTACAGTGTTTTTCTAAAGTACACTGACTTTCTTATTATGAAAAAAAAGTACTGCATATTGCAATTTGTATCATTTTTGGGTCATTAATCAGCAAAAATAGTACATTATATTGTAATTTGTATCATTTTTGGGACATTAGTCCTAAAAAATAATGAACCATTTTTGATATCAATGTTCTAATAAAGATACAAATTGCAACATAACGTGTGATTGATGATGATGGGAAAGTTAGTACTATACCAGAAAAAGTATTTACACAAGTAAACGGACCAAAATTGAATTTCTGTCAATTTATCTTTACAAAATGAACAAAATCTCACTTCTCAGTTTGTCATTTTTGGTGTAATATATGTATAAATAGGAGTCGGAGAAGGTGGCATTGGCTGAGTCGACCGGGTTGGACCAGAAACAGATAAACAATTGGTTCATTAACCAGAGAAAACGGCACTGGAAGCCTTCTGAGGACATGCAGTTCATGGTGATGGAGGGCCTCCATTCCCAGACTGCAGCAGCCCTTTACATGGAGGGCCATTATATGGGCGAGGGCCCGTACAGGCTGGGCCCGTGATCCACCACAAACCACAGCCCGTTGTAAGTCAGTGTGATTCCAGATTTGGTATGTTTTTTTGTTGTCAACTTCATAAGCTGTTGAGAATGAACCTCTATAGTTGATTTTGGTGCCTTGCCTTTGGGTTTCTATGTGCTTGTTTCCTCCTTTGCAACTTTGGATAAAAAATTGTTGTGATGTGTATTAATGAATGAATACTTTGTTTGGTGTAAGTGTATGTTTGTGGCAATGAAGCATTGTTTTAAGATGCGTAGCGCGTATTTAGTTTAGGGAAATGCTGCGGTCTCGTTACGAAACCATTTCGTCGGAATTTGTAACCGTTAGATCTTCATGTAACTGTCGCGGATAGTTGATCTAACATTTACAAACTCTAACGGAATGGTTTCGTAACGGGACCGTAACATCTCCCATTAGTTTTAAGTTTCTATTAATCAATATTCATACATGCAATTAGCATGCTTTTTTTTTTTATTGGAATTTTTCTTACCTGAAATAAAATCATATAATTGTTGTTATTTACCCTACTTCTTTATGTAGTACCTGTTCTGTAGGGAACTAAATGGGTTAATGGTCGATACTTTTTCCTATTTTATCAGAAAAAAAGATGTTATTTTACAAGTACAGCCCCATTATTTTATGAGAAAATTACATTGTACACCTATAAATCTGTTTTTATTTGTTTATCTACGTTTTTTGTTTTCAAATTATAAATTTACTAACTTTTATTGTTTTATATATAAATGGTTAATTTGTAGTTTATTTTTCTATTTGTTTCGCAATTGAATTTTTTTTCTTATGACTTGTCAGTTGTCTCTGATTTGTTTATGTATGGTTTTATTTGAAATAAAGTATATTGTTATAAATAAAAATTGTTAACACGTAAAAGGGCCTTATATTTTATAACTAGTAGAGCCCATTCTCTGTGCCTCATATACCAAGGATATTAACAACATTGCAGATGCTTCGGTTCTAATTTTGTTGCTTACGTGGCATATAAATAGATTAAGTTTTCATGGACAAAAATATATAAAAGTAACAAAATTGACTCCAATACAAAGAGACTAGGTTTCTATTTGGGTTTTAAAATAGACTTAAAGGTAGATTGAGTCTCTTTTTGTTAAAGCCATATCGGGAAAAATTCAAAATTAGTCCCACAGGTATAGGGGGTGATATTTTTGGTCCCAACGGAATCCAGAAAATATTAATAGTCCCGCAGCTTTTAAAAAATGATCAAAAGTAGGACTTTTTTCAATTTTCTGACCCGGATTGCCACGTGGCCACATTCATCTGACGTGGCGAGTACAATGGCAAGGAAAAAAAATCAAAACTAGTCCCACAGGTTTTGGGAGGTGACATTTTTTGTCCCAAAAAAATCCATAAAATCTTAAATAGTCCCGACACGTGTGTGCCACGTGGCATACCGGGCCGGAAAATTGAAAAAAGTCCTACTTTTGATTATTTTTTAAAAGCTGCGGGACTATTAATATTTTTTGAATTCCGTTGGGACCAAAAATGTCACCCCCTATACCTGTGGGACTAGTTTTGAAATTTTCCCAAGCCACATCAGCACGACCCAGACTGTTTGTACTTATATTGGAGAGTATGCAATGCTTCGGTTCTAATTTTGCTTACGTGGCATATAAATAGATTTAAGTCCTGGATGACATGGACAAAAATATATAAAAGTAACAAAATTGACTCTAGTACAAAGATACTAGGTTTCTACTTGAGTCTAAAATAGACTTAAGGGTAGACTAAGTCTCTTTTTCTTGAAACCACATCAGCATGACCCAGACTGTTTGTACGTATATTGGAGAGTATATTTTTTAGACTGAGTCTATTATTTTTTTGAATGACCAAAAGCATTGTGGGTGAGTTGGTAAATCAATCTGGCAAAATAGATTAAATCTAAAAACAATATGTAAACACACCACATATATATCACTCTTCCAACAATGTCAATCTTTATTCAAAAACTCACATGAAAAGATAAATATAATACCATCACATTATATGTGTTTAGCAACCAAATATCCAGACCAGTAAAACACAAGTCTCAATAACACCCCCCATTAATAATAGTATTATTCATTGTCTTCAATTCTGCAAAAACTGAAGTCACAGGTGAAATATGACGAATTTAAGGAGACGAAGCTTTGCGGCCATATGTTAGGGTTAGCAGAAAGTCCTCTGCCGAGCTACCTACGACTGCCGGTCTCGTTTCTGAAGCTGGTGCCGCTTGCAACCATATCTCCATCACTTCCCTTATTTGCATACTAACAGGCAACTCATGTCCATACACACTAATCTCCACCTGAAAATTTTTTTCATTATATCCTTCATTACTAAATATGAGAAAATTAAGATGTCATTTTGCAAGGCACTAAGTAAAACTGAAGACAAACCTCATCTTCACAGCTTAAGTTAAGCTTCTTCACAAGGTACTTCTTGATGAATGAAACTGTCATATTTCCATCCCTATAAAAAGCCACATTAAAACAGAAAGAAAAATCAGATTATCTAATTGGCACGTGGAATGCATTGTCACCAGGAAAATGCCATGTCATTGACACTTGGAACGACATGTTAGCGAAAAAATGCCATGTTGACGCCATGTCATCACAGAAAAGCCCGAATTGGGTCATGTGATTCGAATTGCAAAAAATAGTGAAAGTGGTGTATTAAATTACAAAAAATGAAAGGTAGTGTATTAATATGCAAAAATATATGAAATTAAGAGTTACCAATAAACTTACTTCACCCTCAAGTATTTGGAAGGTATTTGCTCCAAGGGCTTCTTGCTTTTCCTACAACAACGTAAACAATTAGACGTAAACTTCCATTTTCTATATCTTTCTTTTTTTATATATATATTTATTTTGGAGCCAGTTAGTATAAACATGAAAGTGTATTATTGGTCTCACTGTGTCTCAGAGGCAACTAAAGAAAACCAAAATGTTTCGAGCTTTCTGTTGTATGTTGGGTTTTCAGCATCAGCCTTGGCCTTGTCAGTCTTCTTCTTCGATCTCCCACGAGCATTGACTTTCGAGCCCCTTTCTTGCATTTGTTCACTCTTTTTTCCTTTTGTTGATTGACGCAGTTTAGGGTCCATCTTTGCAACATCCTTAACATTATTTGCAGCACGACTTTTTTCCCCCTGTTGAATTCGAACCAAGAGGAGTGAGTAGTTTTCGAGTAAAACAGGTGGAAAAAAAATATATAACTTGTATGATTTACTACCTTCTTGTCACTCTTCATAATAGATGGCCTTTTGTTTTGATCATATTCTTCTGTAGCAGCGCGTTTTTGTGAGAGACGAGTCTTCTCGGGCGATTCAGTTCCAGAAACTCTGGATGTTTGTGACCCAACAGATTGCTCATATGCAGAATTTTTTTGTTCACCTCTCCTTTTCATTGTGCTCTGCAAACAAGATTTCACCATGTTAAGTTGCAATAAGGAATGCTTGATCGCTAACAATATAATAATTAACCATCTATTAGTTACTTATAATTTGTGACGCGATTGCAGTCGTATTCGTAAATAAATGGGTTTTGTACCAATTTTACGGTTTCATATTTGTAAGCAAATGGGTTTTGTACTAATTTTACGGTTTCATTTTTCGTCAGTGGGATATTTTAGAATATGATCTCAAAACCAAAAATAAATATGTTGAATGAGAAAATAATTTAAAGTTAAAATGTGGGTAAGTTGAGTTTATGCAACTCAAAATTGAGTTTAAGTTGCTCAAAAATTAGTGGGAATCGAAAACGAAATAAGCTTATGAATAAACGTCAACCCGCAACAACTGGGTTGTTGCGAGCCCAACGTTTACATGATGGCTCGTCGGGGGCACAATGAGCTCGTTGGCTTTATGCTTTCAGCTCAATCGGTTGCGTTTGTTTCCGTCTGAACTCGCCTAGAAAGGAGTCTCTTACTCAAAACAATGGGTTGATATTCCCAACATCTATTAGTATCCGACAAAAATTCAACTTTAGTCATCTAAGTTGGTCATTGTCCATTTTTGGTACACCAACTTTCTCCTCATAAAAAACAATACGTTATGTTGCAGTTTTTATCACTATTGGGACTTTATCCCAAAAATGATTCATTATTTTTGGGATTAATGTCCTAAAAATGATACATATTGCAACATAACGTATTGTTTTTGATGAGTAATGCCCCAAAAATGATACAAATCGCAACATAACGTACAATTATTGATGAGTGGTGTACCAAAAATGGACAATGACCAACCTAGAGGACCAAAATTGAATTTTTGCCATTAGTATCCATAGACTTTTATAGACACTTGTCTTGTCTAGTTGAAAATTTTGTCTTGACTAGTTGAAAAATTTGCTAGTGGAACAAGAAGCATTAGCTAAGAGAACGTTCCAAGCCTCATCTATAATGATGAACACATACTCTTTATGAAGAAAAATGGTTAACCTAGCAAATCTAATCCTTTAAGGTAAAGAAATGATCGCGAGGAAGATGAAGAACAGATGTTTTCATTAAATGGTAGCACAAAAACATAGAAGTGGTCAACTTCACGAATGTAGAAGGTTTTGGAATTAAGTGTTATAAGTGCAAAAAGAAAAAAAAAAGAAATTATTGATCGAAAATTAAATCAACAAAATTATCTCAGTCGTGTCAAATGAGACATAGAAACGAAGATGTTGGGAGATATATCTCTAACAACGATACTCATAAATTTGTTGATTCTGATAATAAGAACTTTTAATGACTCTAAAAGACATAAACTATTCACAAAATTTGACCGGATATAGTGAATCATATCTACAAGGTCAAGATCTTTATAATATAGTGAATAGTATAACATTACGCCAAATGAGAACCCTAACATTGAAGAAGTGGAAGGTAAGACATTGCAAGATCATGTTCTCTATCTAGACCACGAGTGAGCAAATGTTGGGAGTATATAAGGAGAACACCAAAACTTGACTTGTTGATTTTTTATACTTTTTGGTGAATCGGACGTATTCAAATAATTGTTGCTCTGACTTAGCCCTTCCCGCGCATATAATATCTTCTCAACTTTGCCCTAGATCCTAATACTTCTGTCCATGTAGGTCTAAATCTTATTTTGTTACTTTTCAGGTGAATAAAGAATAATTGACTAGCTTTTTTTCCAGAAGAAGAATGAGGCAAGATTGCAAATTTTAGAGAGTGTGCTTCTTTCTATCATATATATGACGATAACCCAGTATTTCACCATAGTGGAGACCACTGCCGTGAAATATCTAATTTAGAATCTCCCACCGATTTTGGATCACAAAGGTTGACCGATCCAACTTTTTCTTATCTAGTTGAAAATTTTGCTAGTTGAACAAGATGCAATAACTAAGAGAATGTTACAAGCAAACATGTACTCTTTATTAAGAAGAATGAAGGTCAACCTAACAAATATAATTCGTTAAGGTAAAGAAATGATGGAGAGAAAGATGAAGAGCAAATGTTCATTTAATGGGAGCACAAAAAAGACTAGTGGTCAGCTTCAAAAGTATAGAAGATATAGAATAAAACGTTGTACCTGCGAAAAGAAATGTCACATAAAGAAATTGTTGATTGAAAAAAAATGACAAAACCTATCTCAGTCGTGTCAAATGAGAGTCATTGAAAAGAAGAATTCGGGAGAGATATCTCTAACAACGATAGTCATGAACTTGTCGAGTCTGATAATAAGTATATTAATGACTCTAAAAGACATGAAAGATTTACAAAATTCGACCAGATACAACGAAGGTCAACGTGTTGAATTTTGATAATAAAGTAATTACGTAATTTATGCACGTGTTGTTCGGCTCAACAACTACGCGATCATCAAAATTGTTATGTAGGACTAAATATAACTCTTCTAATCAAAGTTGTTATATATATGGAACCAAATAGATTTAGATTTTTTTTTTTAGATATATATCCTTATCTCATTAACGAATTGTTTTGAGAATAAGCGGAATTTTGCAAGACATATCTTGATCTATTAAATAATGTCCTTTTTGGAATGCATTTCTTATGGAAATTATAATGTAAAAACATATTCAAAATAACTGGGAAAAAATAAAAAAATTACCAGCGGACAAGAATATATCAATCTCTAAACAATAACAAGAACAAATAAAAGAGGCCAGAGAATGTTAATTAAATGTGTTGATTTTCTAATACACTTAAAAAAAGAGATTAAAATTAAATAATAACTCACATCGGTGGCGAAAATTTTCAACAAATTGGGCAGATAAAAGATTTCTTGATATTCTTTTCCGGCAATTCGAAATTCATAGCCACCTGAAAAATTTTGTAGGAGAAATTGGGAAGATTTATATAAATAAAACATGATAAAGTGAAGATATTTGTAATGTATAAAAGCATAAAAAAATGTAATTTCTCCTATGATTAGTATAATGTTGTGTAATTTGATTCAGGAGCAATATAAACTGATATATGTAATATGGAAATAAAATTTAAATTCCATGTATTTATTCATAGCTGTCAATTAAAAGATAGTATTGGCAACAAATCTCATTACCTTAATTTTTACATGATTTTCATATGAATTCTTTGACTACAACATAATCTAATTTAGAGATCCTTTGAACTTTGGACATAGCATGTAATAATAATATGAATAAGGTTTTTAGGCAGTTCATATTTTTACAAAATCACTCGTCCTTTTATAATAGTATAAATAGATAGATATAGATATAGATAGATATCGATAATTATATAACATTTACTACACAAAAAGTGTGTGTGTGTGTGTGTGAAAACTTATCATGTAACAAGTTTTAATCAAGTTATATCTAAAGTGTCGATCAAATGACAGTTTTTTAGCTACTGTTTAGTGTGATTATGATGTGAGATAAAAATATCTTTGAACAAGCAATCTCTCTCAATACCAGAAAACAAGAACCAATAATAAAATTACACAAATATGTCTTGAACTTTTAAAAGTAACAAATCACAAAATTTATTAAAATTAATTAATCGATAGTATCGATCTTAAATAAATGATAGTTCGACATAACTCAAAGAAAATCTAATATGAATATGATAAATTCATACTTTCTCAGTATGAGCATGTGCATGTGCATGAACATGGACATGCCAGATACTAGAAATTTAACGGCACTATAGTAAGATAACTTAATCCAAAACGATACTAGGTTTTATCTTACAAAACTTTGATGAACATAGCGAGTCCATTCTTCTCAGACTAAGTTCACTTGCTCTTTAGAATGTTAACACACTTGTACTAGAAAAGTACTATGAGATAAAATATTATCAATTTTAGTTCAACTAAACACAATAAATTGTTAGGTAAATACAAGAAATATGCCTAATTTAACATTTTTTTTTTTTTTTTTTTTTTTTTT